GATTGTGATTTAACAACTAAAATATATGTATGTTTTGTAAAATCTTTGAATATGCAACTTGTTTTATGTTTTATTTGATAATTCAGATTTTATATAATATTTATATAATATTTAATATTATATAATATTTAATATATAATTATATAATATTTATTTTTAAAGTGACAATCGATTAAATCTTATAATACTCCTGATAAAATTTAATATTAATAATCTCGTAGGCAAGCTATTTGTAACTACTGCATCATCGTTTAACATAAACAGCAAAAAATCCAATTTAACATCACGTGGTATAAATGCATAAATGCATTAGAGGGTGTGTGCACAGAAAAACTGCATTCTAACGCAGGGCAGCGTAAATATGTTTACTATGGAAAGTGAGATATTTATCCGAAGAACTATTTTAATATGCCAAAGGTAATAAATGAAATTCGCAGTTGTATGATTTCATCAAGCGAATAAAGATGGAATCACATGATGCTCGATTTCTTGAATCACACATGCAGTCTGATATTTGACGAATAACTATGAAAATAGTAATTATTTCTTTTGGTTGGTACAAGGAATAAGCTGTGAAATAATCCAATAAATATATAAAAATCATGTATATGCAACATGCATGTATAGCACTCAATGCATAAACAAATTCTAGCATATATCAGAACAGACATAACTGTGTGCATACCTGCTATCATTCAAGAGCACTGTGTGATTCTACCTTAAGAGAGAAACCTTATTGAAGAAGAGATTTTTATTATAGCATGCACTTTATATGGTTTTTATATAAATGCAGGAAATATTTTTTTAACTGATCCTATTTATTTGACTTTAATATCATGAAACAACGTTTATACGAATTTCTCAAATTTCTATTCTTCTTCTTCTGCAACTTAAAAAACCGTAAATAATAGAAGGCTGACGTAAATACTTTCGAAACAATCGAATTATCTAAAAATGTTTACCTACAATTTCGTAAAATGGAAATTTCCTTAAACAGACATTTTTATGACGCATTTCTGAAAACTTTTAGAAACTTTATTCATATATACTTTTATCTAGGACCAATCAGAAAAATGTGTTACCTTGTGTTAATTAGAAAGGCAAGCCCATCTCGAATACGTCGTTGAGTCTATCTCAGCTTTAACGACACGTTTAATTTTAAAAAACCTGCTGTTGCTGGTGATTTATCAGACTGTTGATCACGAAGAACGTGGCACAAACAATCCCCCGCCATAGACCAATAGCAAGCTTGTGGATTCAGTGGGCTCGATATTTAAAGCGGAACTCGATACAGATCGTGATAATCGAACGTTCGGTATCGTTCTAGAAGATACTTTTTACCATTTCCTTCGATTTTGAAAGTCATCATGGTAAGTTGAAGAACTATTACCTGGTAATAGAATTATTTTTATAATTCAACTAGATTATTAATTGCATAATTGCTTATTTAATATACAACTGATCAACATAATTCGCAAACATAAAATTTATTGAGGTTTTTTTATATGATATGCATCGTAAAATACAAATCGTTTAATAAATATTTATATTTTCATTGATTTGTTTAAATAATTCATTGTTTAATAAATTCATTGTAAAAAAAAACAATATGATTGGACTAATGCGAGTCAAAACACAGTTATCTGTGTGTAACTATAAATTTATACACCAAATTAAAATATATAAATGAACTTTCGGCTCCGCTTTGAGCCATCTTCAGCGTTGATATATCCAATATTAAATATATACAATATTTCGTTCTTCACGGCATATAATGAAATTTCGTCATAAAAAAGTTGGTAGGCCGAATAATTTTATTCGACTTCTATAAATGACAGTGAAACATTCGTTTATATATTTTAATTTAAAACATAAATTTATAGTTACGCACAGATAACTGCGTTTTGACTCTTATCAGCTCAATCATTTTATTGTTTTTGTTTGTTAAAACTTGAGAGTCCATAATTCTTTATTTTTAAAATTTTTTACATTTGTTTCCAGACGAGCTACAGTGATAAAAAATCTCAGGTAAACAGTCTTGCCAAAAGTTGGAAAGACAAATTATTTTTTCGATTGGAATCAACTACTATTTAAAATTTACATATAGTAATTATTTAAAGAGAATTACTATTATACTAGAGAAATTTGACGCAATATCTGTATTTCTATAATCTGTATTTCAGCCTGTTGGAGGAAAATTCATCAGTTTTGATTATATAAAATTCTGGGTTGGAAATGCTAAGCAGGTAAAATCTTACATGCAGAACATTTCTTAATATGTAGGAAATATCATAGAAATAAGTCTAAAAACAAACAGGAATCATAAAGATATGGTATGCAATATGATTCTATTCTTTATCTATTCCCTCGTTGATTTTATCAGTTTTATCGAGCTATGTACAAATAAACTTTGTTAGTTTTTGTCCTAAATCCGTTCTTACAATTCTTTCCCATATATCAAGAAATGCCTTAAAAAAATATAAAAATAATAATTGAGTATAAACAAAAATCAGTAATCAAGCAAAAACATTTTTAAACAAGTTAAATTATAATTAGTATATCAACAAAGATCATAAATTAAAACAGGCGTTTTGGGATCATCGGTCCTTCTTCAACTAATATAATTTAAATATATGGAGTATGTATTATATAATCACATAAAAAAAGATATATAAATTATATATGAAAATAAAATTGCGCTTTTAGGCCGCCAGTTTCTACCGATGTAGAATGGGATTCGAATCATTTGGATATCGTGGTTTGGAAACCGGCTACAGACGAGCAGCGGCACACGTTGTCAAGCAGAACAAAGTGAGTAATTTTGAACATTCTCACGTATGAATCCATAATTAAAAAAATGTCTTTATTTTAATTAATTGTTTATTTGATAGTCGAAAATAGTGTTCTTTTCGAAATCTTGAATATATTATCTTTTGAGATACAGAATTTCTTATTATATTTGTAGATAGTGTTCGTGTTCGAATCTCCGTACGAACCTGATAACGAAGAAATGTCAGATCATCTTTCCCGGCATGGAGACGGCGTGCGAGATGTAGCGTTCAATGTTGAAGATATCGATACCATTATGAAGGTAAAGAAATAAAGGAGATATTTTTCTTCGTCTAAAAATATAAATATTCTCTCTGTGAATATAGAATTTCCATGATATAAGATGAAATATTCTTTCTGAAATAGAAATAATTAAAAGCACCGCTTTTATTTTATTGGAAACCGATAGCAAAGTAACTTTCAAGTTATCTTCATTAATATTTGAGATGATGTATGTAAAGGTTGCTAAGCGAAAGGGTGCCGAAATAGTGCGCGACATATGGGAGGAAAGTGACGAATATGGCATCGTGAGGATGGCTACTGTGAAAACTGTAAATATTAAAAAGATGATACTTCCTTATACAATCTGCGATATCATTGCCTTTTAGATGTTTCAATTAATTCAATGTTATTTTTATCAGTATGGTGATACGCTCCATACATTTGTTGATAGAACGAGATACAAAGGCTTCTTCTTGCCAGGTTTCATGAGGATATCAAAGGATGCTCTTCTCGATCAATTGTATGTATGCAAAAGCGCGATTTCTCACATAATAGCCTTAGTTAAAACCACTCCACTTTAAAAAGAAAACTAGAACATATACAATATACATATTTTAATATCTTACAACACTATTTATCTTTGACGAAAAGAATGTCTTATATATTAGAAAAATATAAAGAATCTTTTCTTATTAAAATTGCAAGATATATCCAGAATTAATCTGATGTTGAATACAAAAAAGACATAAGAAATACTTGATAGTTAACTTTAAATTATTGATGTGCTCTTCTTTTATTGCAGGCCGCAAATACATTTGAATTTCGTAGACCATGTAGTGGGTAATCAGCCCGACAAACAAATGGAACCCATTGCGAAATGGTATGTAAATTACTATTTCTCAGTGTAAACATGTTTTACTAATGAGACATGTATACAGAAAAGCTTAGAGAGAAGAATTTAGAGAAAAATATTTCAGACAAAAGTTGTAAGATTTGAAGGCGAATGTAAGAGAGTATTGATTTGACTTTGGGTGGTGCCGCTAAAATCAGGTCAAGGTCACTTTAAATTTTTTAAATGGATTCCTCATTTTTCATCGCATATTCTTGTAGCTTATTTCGATAACTCTTCAAAATACTATAACAACATGTTTTTTCGTTAAGTTACTTTTTGAGTTATAAGGCTTGAAAGTTACAGTACTGCCGCGCTGGTATTAATATTATCTAAGGTGTCCGATCGATGATTAAAATCTCTTGAATGTTGTTCAAAATTCAAATCATGACTTAGATAACATTTGTTAAGATCAAGCCATATGGAGGTTTTGTCTCTTATTTTAGATCAATTAAGCAGCATTATAATCTTCACTAGTAAAATAACACGTTAATGTAATAGTAGAATATATAAAATACGTATTTAAAATAAAGTTCACGTTGATTCATCGAATTTTACGAGACTTCTAAATTAGAAATTTCCAAATTCCTGCTTGTATTCTTAAGCTGAAAAATAAAATACTAAATTAAATGAAGATTTCTCTTTTTCTGTTTCTCTCAGGTACGAAGACTGTTTACAGTTTCATAGATTCTGGTCAGTAGACGATTCACAGTTGCATACGGAATATTCCGCGCTACGGTCCATTGTGATGACGAATTGGGAGGAAACGGTGAAGATGCCGATCAACGAACCCGCGCCAGGGAAGAAACGTTCCCAGATTCAGGAATATGTCGAGTATTATGGCGGTGCCGGCGTACAGCATATTGCCCTTAATACTAATGACATTATAACAGCGGTAAATAATTAAGCGTTCTGCACAGAATATAAAATTGCATTTATGCACAACGTACATATCCTGCAAAATACAACTATGCAATACAAAAGCAACTTTAAAAACCAACTTTTTGGTCACAATTCTCTTAACATTTTTATTCTGTGATCTTTATTAATTAACATAGAGTTTAATATTTTTAATTCAATATATATATAAATTAAGATATTGTATAAAAAAATGTCGCACGCTCGCAATAAGTTTTTCCACACATCCATTCTCACGCATCATTTTACAGATAACGAATCTGCGTGCCAGAGGTATGGAATTTCTTCACGTACCCGATAGTTATTACGACATGCTCAGAAACCGCCTAAAAGCCAGTGGCACGAAAATCGTGGAGGACTTGGATATGCTACAGGTATTTTTATTAATAATGAATTAAAATTAATTCCGGTACAAGTTTCAACGCGTTTAATATTAATTCGATTGTGTTATCGCTTTGCAGAAATTAAAGGTACTAATAGACTATGACGAGAATGGATATCTTCTACAAATATTCACGAAAAATATGCAAGATCGACCAACATTGTTTATAGAAGTCATACAGAGGCACAACCATAACGTAAGTATTAAAAGAAAAGTTTGTAGCATCACATCTATAAATTTACAAAAAATTTACTGGTATAAAAATTCAAAAAATTAATTAATATTTAAATAATCACAAATTTAATTTGCTACTTCTTATTTAGGGTTTCGGCGCCGGCAATTTCCAAGCGTTGTTCGAAGCGATTGAATTGGAGCAAGCAAAACGTGGCAATCTGTAGAAAGTTAAATATTGCTGTATTTGTAAAATTAGAACTATCAGCCGACATAAAGTAATCCTATGAAAGAATGAAGGACGAGTACTTTTGTACTTAATTATATTATTTTAATTATATAATGAAATATCACATTAAAAGTGTATTATGCATATAAAATTCGCATCGAGATTTATTCAGCACCATCTAACACTCTGTTACATACCACTATTATAATGATAATTCGTTCACATTGTAATAGAGCTGTACGCTTTATCATATTTGACGAAAATCAGTCAAGGTTTTACGTTTTCGTCTGTGGAATAGATAATCAACTTGTCTGATTAATTCCGTATTCTTGTATTTAATGGCCAACATTTTCGTATTACAAAAATACACAGCATTTTAAAATGTAAAATATGTTACAATACATTTCAAAGCGTAGTAATGCAAAGACATAATATGCCATCAAAAATCAAACCTCCTTCGATTAATGAGACATCTATGTGTATATGTTGTGCTAGTATGTATAGCTAAAAAATGTAAATTTGTTTTTTCCGACAACATACATATATATA